TGTAAAATTTCTTCACACAAGCATTGATTCTTGTTAACAGCGGGTCGATAATTTTGGCCGATTGTGCATAAACAAACCTTGGCTAGTTACCAGTCCCACGCGCATATATACAAAGCCATGGATCCTAGTGTTTCTCAATGTTACTATCAACTGTTTTCGACTACGGTATGCCTGTACTTATCATTCACTGTAACATCGCAAGCAAGTAAGCCATAAAGAAATCAAGTCTCCTACACATTATGATGCAACAGAATTAAGCTCAGTGCAGATCAAAATTAAGAGATGGCTGGAGTCAATAAGGGGTAGCGAATGGTAAATTTATGCGAAACTTTGCGAGACAGCGAGACCAGCGTTTTTTTTTTTTGCGAGACCAAAACTTTTTGAGTGTTTTAATTGCGATACCAATGTTAAGACCCCAAAACGGCTTTGCAAACAATTCGAGACTGTGAGACGTTTTGAGTCTTTTGAACCGCTCAAAAAACGAGACTGCAGTAAAGTAGGTAAGTGGCGCCAATTGACATATACGAAGAAAGTCGATCGACTTCCTACCCTCTGGACGAAAATTTCGCCTCTTACCCCCCATCCCCTCTGGAATTTCCTGGGACTTTGACCCCCCACCCCTCTGGAATTTCCAATTCCCTCCGTGGTGAGGGTATGGATATTTTCTGGAACTACACATTCTCTGAATGACAAGATAATCAATGGGATAATTTTGGCTGGAGCCTTTTACTGTACGTAAGTAAATGTGAGTAATAAATATGCACCATCAGTGCTTGCTGAATGATATGGGTCAAAATACTCAGCTCACTTACCCATTATCCAGACCAATTGCCATATCCCTTCCCCTCCCACTCCAAGGTTTTCAGAGCATTGTTAAATTGACTTTCCTGTGCCACTTTCAGGTTGATCCCAAGCGTGCTGTGCCACGAGGACCAGGTCAGCAAGAGATGATTTCCACACAAAGTCCTGGTGGGCAAAGTGTAAGTTTCAAAGGAGAGTACTAAAGTATGTCTGTTGTGTACCAATAAATACCAATAAAGGAAGTTCTCTTTATGGGCTACACCAAAGTTTCTTAAGGACACAAAATAATTTCGAAGGTAGCATAATAACTTAGAACATATTGAAAAGTCATCCTAAAAAACAAAAGAACTTGATTTATTAAGCAAAGAATTGATCCTTGCTTGTGGACTGCAATTTAAGCAATGGCAGAAAAAAAATGAAAAAATTAAGCTTTGAAAATATCAAAAAATATGTGTCCTTGATACCAGTTGGATGCTGCCACCAATGATTTTTATTGATATGTTAATATATGACCATGCATTTCAGAGGGATGCAGGAAACAATGAAAACAAAATTTTTGTTGGTGGACTGAGTAGTAACACCACAGAAGATGATCTACGACGGTTTTTCTCTGCCATTGGAAAGGTAGGCATCAGGCTGTTAACCTACAATAAGGAATACAGGATGTTTCGCACAATAGACTTTTCACACAAGTCTTTTAGCACAAGTTTTGGACTGTGTGCACAATTCTTAGGGGTCATTTTGCACAATAATTATAAGTGAGAAACATCAATACAAAAGGTATACTAATTGATACTGATAAGACATTTCACCTTCAATAAGATCTAACGGTGAGATTGTAGACATTTATTTACGTTATAACTTCAACTAGATAGAAACGCTTGTGAAAATGATCACTTTTCTTACTTGAAGAAAGGAACAAATCTTTCTCTCTATGAAAATGTAAAGAACTCCCTATTTGAACAATTACTTCTATTACTTTTCCTTTGTTAAATGAAAAACCTTTTAGTTTTGACTGTACATTATCTGCTACAAACATACGAACATGACGACCCAACACTAAGGACGCCATGTTGATTTCGAAAGTAATTGTCACCAGAGTATTGTCATTGAGTAACTGTTTCACTTTTTATTAAAAAGGACAAAAGACCTATTTACAAAATTTCTGTATAAATATATAAAATTCAAATAATATCAATGGAATTTTAATTACAGTAATTAATTGATATATTCATTTGCTATCTAATAACTATTAAACTGAAGGTACTGCCAAAATTGAACATTTCTTTAGTAATCTATACGAATCGATTTCGTTATTATCAAACAATCCCAAAACTTAATTATCTTTGACTGCATGTCACAATAGCGTTTTTGTTGAATTCTTATGAGGTTAGCCACTTGAAGCTCTACTAGTATTGCCTTGCTGTGCAGAAGTTTCATTGGCAGATAAAATTGCAGCTGATTTATTTGCTTCGAGAAAAGACTTAAAAATTAGATGAACAGACTTGGATTAAAAAACTTTTGGATGAAAAGACCGCAATTTGGCAAACACACACAAAAAAGAAGGTAATGAACTATGATGAATAACTTACCAAGAAGACAGTCATGTGTCACTTACACACCAAATACTGCTTGTCTTTGCATTTTGGATGAAATTGATGAACTCTAATAAACAATTACATCTATACCTCAACTATGTCATGGCCATGTTACCTGACGAATCATGTATATTTCAACTCACCACTCGGTCAAGACTCGTAGAAATTTAGCCCTTTCCTACATTCATTTAAGCTATAATACATCTAGATTTCTTTCTTTGTTTTGATCTTAAGCTTGTATGATTACTTATCGAACGGCTAGCCTATAATCTTTGAATTAATTTGAATTCTTGACACTTTTGTGAAATCATTTGTTTACATCACGGTCACTATGACGCTTATCGATTGATACTGAACTCTCCATTGCTTAGGTAATTGTTATAAGAATAATTTGAAAGGATTACTACTTGATAGATGTATGAAACTTTACGATCTTTAAAAAGATTACAGATCGAACTTGTCTTTCTACAAGATCACTAGTTTGTCACTACACTGACATGTTCAAGTTGTCAAATTGCAACACTTGGACATGCCAACATTCGATGTGAAGCACTCTCTCAATATTGAGTTATTAACATTGAACTGTTTTTGCTGTACATATCACCAGTATGCCTAATTGTCATTAAATAACGAAGATATAAGAAGCAAGTTTTCATTAGCTTTTTTTGAAACTCTTAGAGATTGATAAAACATGCTGTTTGAAGGTGATCGAACAAGGAGGGAAGACTGGTGACAATTACTTTCAAAATCAACATGGTGTCCTTAGTGTGGGTCGTTGTGTTTGCATGTTTGTAGTGGATGATGTGCTTTCAAAACTAAAAGGTTTTTCATTTAACAAAGGAAAAGTTATAGAAGTAGTCATTCGAGTAGGGAGTTCTTTACATTTTCATAGAGAGAGAGACTTGTACTTTCCTTTATTCAAGTAAGAATAGTGATCATGTTCACATGCATTTCAAACTAGTTGAAGTTATTACAGAAATAAATGTCTGTTCTTGCTGTTGGATCTTATTGAACGTGACATGTGAAGGTGAAATGTCTTATCAGTATCAATCAGTATACCTTTTATATTGATGTTTCTCACTTATAATTATTGTGCAAAATGACCACGAAGAATTGTGCTAATGGTCCAAAACTTGTGCTAAAAGACTTGTGCAAAACATCTTTTGTGCGAAATGTCCAGTTACCACAATAAGGGTGTTGAGTTGAAGGATTTTTTTTTTTGCAGCAGTGTCAGGTGATGAAACTTATATGCTCACTTTATTAAGATTTGATGAAGTGAAGTATATATAGATCTTAGTAATGAAGAAACAACCTTCTCCTAAACCAAAAGATAGCAGTCAAAGAATCAAAAGGGAGGATGACTTGTATACACTATAGGTTTCAGGCAGCTATCGGGAATAGATTGCAGAGTTCTTTGCTCCCTCTTATGACCTACTTCTCTTGATCATTTGAACCTTTGGCTATGTTATTGGCCACTAATTTATTTTCAAGGCCTACATGTATCATGACAATAACAGGTACTTCATCTTTAAATTGTAGAGTTTTTTTCCTTTAAGGTAAAGAATTAATTAAAAAAAAAAAGATCATCTCATTGAAAAAGTGCTCCCTTGCAAACCTTGTTATATTCTGGTCAATGAGACAAAAATCCAATAGCATTTGAAAACACAGTAGCTGGTTGAAATGCAGGGTTTGCATATGATTGTGTAGTCTAAGGGTCCAGGCCAGTATAGTCATAAAAATGACTGTTTTTCATAGTGGTGACTGACATTTGACAACCTGAGATGATGAATTCCCCCTAGGTTGTGAAAATCTCAGTCATCACTACAGACAACAGTCCTTTACAGGACTGTTCTCACCAGGATGATCAGACTACACTGTTACAGCATTTGAAATTGAAGTCTTCTTTGATATTGACTTTGAGTGCAGTTGATGTTCAAAGTTTGATTTGTTTTATCAGGTTGTTCATGTTAAGCTGATGTATGATAAAGAAAATAGCAGAATGCGAGGTTAGTAGATTCATTCTATATTGTACTGTAAGTGTACAAACTGGTGATGTTTTATTTGTTACATTTGCTTACAGCTCTTTGGTAGAATTATGTACCTTTATGAACTGTAACAAAGGAAATAAATAATGGAAAGGATACAGGAAACTTGGTTCAAACTGCATTTATTTTGGTACAACTATGGGCCAGTTGTTTTTGTTTACCTGTGAAAGCTTAAGTAGTATTACAACTCATTTACTATGGATAAATCTTTTAATCTGAAGTCAAGTGTGCACTGGTGTTTGTTTGTGCACAAGAAATAGAGAATCTGTATAGGACTTAGTTTTAATATTTGAGAGATTAAAACAAGCTAATATGACTGATTCTGGATGGTAAAGGAGTACTTGTAAGTACATATCTAAAACCTCTACAAGAGTTTAGTCAGAAATGATAAATGTGCTACTAAAGCCACAAGAGTGAAGGTAACTTTTCAGTTATATTTTGTACCTTCATTATGTAATAGCAATATATTTTAAGTGTAGTAATGATTATTGTAGTTATACATAAACTAAGAAACTAATTTTCTCCTTGAAAAATTAATCAATCAATTGATCAAATGAGGGTACATAAATTTCATTCCATAACACAAGAAACAAACTGTATCTCTTACATCTGTAATGCTTATCCTGAGACATATTTCTTTCTGTTGTTTTGATGTAGTGGTAGATCTTAAAGACCTGATGTGTGTAAGCACTATAATCTTGATCCATATTGTATTTCCCTAAGTTTTCATTATCATTTAAATTTAAAGTTCTTTAATTATGTATGAAGCAGTAACGCAAACCTATTCAGAAATGAAAATCACTAGAAAATTAAGAAAGTGACTTTCAAAGGCATTTTCAGGCCTTACAATTTGCACTGCTGGTCAGTTATGCAGTGAGTAATTTTGTGTGACAGGTGGTGAAGTATAGTCCTTTGTCTTGTGACATCTCTTCTGATGTAGAATGCAACATTTGGCCTGTTTGCTGCTGGTCTTCTTTAGGTGTGAAGGACTACTGAATACAAGTCACCTTATGAAACATTGTGCTTAGCTGTGATTGTTCAGTTTTAAACAGTTGTGATGGAGGCATTCATGCTTCTGGGATTTCTATTCCACTGTCCATTTTGTTGCTATAAGGGTTTAGTCTTGTGTGGTTCACCTCTTTCACCCTACATGTACATGTATAATAATGGGATCATAGTCACTAAACTTTTCTCTGTTCCACAGCAGACAGTATCCAGATTTGCAGGCATACCCTGAAAATTGTGGTTGTCTGTGTTTAAGTCAGTTGTTTTGTCAAGTTTTGTGGCCATATTCTGAAATAATAGAGGTCTGTGTTAAAGTCAGTTGTTTCTGTTATGCTCCACAATTCTCTCTTGCATAAGTCTTCCAGTCTCACCAACATAAACTTCACTGCATTCACTTGGAATCCTGTAAATGGCATCATCTTCCTTAGAAGGGTCAGCAACACACTACTTGCAATTTTAGCATGGTCTCCTACTCTAGTTTTAAAGTTGCTAGGAAAGATCTTTTACATATGGTTAAGCTGTAAAAGATGGAACTTGAAGGTAGGCTCAGCACTGGTGGTTGGTTTCTGTCCTCAGTACTCTCAGAACAGATGAGAGATGTTTCTACTCCTTTGAGATGGCAGAGGCTTTTTTTATGAGAAGAACTAGTTATTGGTCAGTTTGGGTCATCCATCTGGTTCTTTCTCATGTGTCTTGTGGATACAAGAAATTTTCAGACATGGAATTACACAATTTTCTTCTGCTGGGTATTTTAGAGCTTAAAAAGTTGCTTGGTTTTTTTCTATCTTTTTTAGTGTATTCATTTGCTGTAGTGTATGTGTTTTCTTTTTTCATTAAGATTAATGGTTAATACCAAATTAGAGCACCTTGAATTTGTTTACGTGGTGAAAAAGCATTAAATGTATTTTCCAAAACCGATACTGAGCTATTTACAAGGCAAAAAAAATTTAAAAGTAAAAACCAAACATTTTCAACACTACATTGTCATCAGAGTAAATGTAAAGTTGATTGAACCAACCAAAAGGGGACAACCAAGGCAATGCAAGGTTATAAATTGTTTTTGTGTAAGTAAAAATCACAGGTTCAGTTCTTTCAGATGTGAAATCCTACACAAATGTCATATTGCTGACCACTCTGCTTATCTATGAAGTAGTCAAAATGGCAGCCTTAAGATGATAAACAAGGGTTCAGACATCTTAAAAGGCTTCTTTCTCTCTGGCAAATCATCTTTGAAGAAACTTTAAACATTATTAAATATTTGATGTAATTTATAGTCAAGGGTTTTCTCTACCAAATTGTCGTGATTTTTTATGTATTACAGAATTTTCCTCAAATATTCAGATCTAATGTGATTTGATGGCAATTGTGCAAAAGTGCACCTTGCCACAGCATTAGAAACCCTCAATTGATTCTGGAATTTACATCAGTGAGTTATGTTTTGTTACTGGATAAACTTCCAAAAATATAGGCTTACCCATTAGGATTGTAAATAGTCCTTTCTGCTTAATCTTAAAATTGCTTTTTCCATATAACCCATCAATAGCAACCAATACTGCAAAAGTGAAAAACCTTGTTGATTCATGTTTTATTGTTGTTATTAGTAATTGTATTTTATTAAAGTAGCTAGTTAGGGCTTCTATATGTCCATATGATTCTGACACATGTTTCATTATTAGTAGACTAGATTATTTATTCCAAGACCAGTAAATCTAACTTCTATTCACTGTCAAATGAAAATAATTGAAATGATTCGTTGAAGATGGAAAAGAAAAAAATACTGTAGCCATTTAAGTGATCATGGTCATGAGATTTTTACCTCAGATATAAAATCTAATTAAAATGGCTTTTTCGGTCATTTGAAAGAGATTCCATGGAGGGGGCAGGGGGGGAGTTTATTTAAGTTGTTATATTTTTTATGGCTAGGCTACTTATAGTTTCCTTGCATGTTTGTGATCATGACTTTAAAGGGGGTCATTGGCAAGGCTATACAAAGATTAACTTAGTCTCCACTTTGACATTACCCCTTAAAACTTTAATTGTCATACTTAACTTCCTAAATTGTGCTTGTCATTATTTTCTTTAACTGCAGGTTATCTTTACAGGAATTAACATATGCTTTATTTTACGCATTACTATACTATGGTAGGCTTTGGTTTTGTAACGTTTGAGTCAAGTGAAGCAGTAGAGGAGGCTTGCCGTATACATTATCATGACATCAATGGAAAAACGGTGTAGTTACAGTTTAAGTTCCTACTGTGTTGTATTTGACATGTATGTTAGTTAACACTTACATTGTTTACTTGTTGTTTGAGTGTAGATCTTCACAAATATTGCCCTTGTGAATGTATTGCTGACTGGAGAGACTTCTCCATATTAATCTTTATCTAAGTGTGAACTTTCTTTGTTGCAATGGGCATTGGTACTTTATTCATTTGGCTTTTTTAACTCATTGTTCTAGTATACATAGTATACACAGTGTAAATGTGTGCATTCAATTGCCCAGTTCTGTGTGTTGTTTTGGCCTTTACTTTACTGTACAGGACACATCATTATTATTTTGGAAATGAGTACATGAATTTTCCTTGACAAGCAATTTTTAGTGATTTTGTTTATGTAAACTATTTTCTACCTGCCCACATCTTCACCTCCAATAAGTAATGGTCTGTTCCTTTAATGGGGTTTGCTATTCTAATTGTCATTGCTTGCCTTGCTGAGCATTGCTCTAAGATCATTTTTAATTGCTTTATTGGTTAACTTCACGTTAATTGTAAGAAGTAGTATGTGTTGAGTCAAAAACTTCAATTGATGCTATTTTAGCAACATGTACAGAGTTTCTATTTCAAATCCAAAAACTTGCTGTCATTTTAAAACATTTTAAAATGATACCATTCAAATCAAAACATAAAATGGAACTGTTAATATTGCAAATATGGAGAAAGCTACTATCAGCTGTTGTTTTGCCTTACATGGTTTAGGGAGAGAGAGGAATTTTAAATCCAAGGAAACAAATATTGCTTGTATTTTGTTTTTGACTTATATATATAGTACGTTATGAACAGGTCTCAGAAGCTGTGCTCAAGCTGTGAATATTAAACTTGGTAATAAGTTTGAGAAGAAGGAATGTTTGCATTGCACACACTGTACACGTTTCTACTAAGAGTGTTGCTGAAAGGCAGCAAAGAAAAGGGAAAGCAATGATGTCCATAATTGTCATTGAAGTCACAAACCATCTAGAATTAATGTTGAAAAAATCTTGCAATCTTTGAAGAAATGAAATTCATATCTTAATATAGTTTCCACATTGTCTGACCTTAGTAGCCATAGCAGTGGACACATTGATGCATTACATATTTTTTTAATGCTTGTGGTGAATGATTTATTGTTAACCATTGTGACTTGGATTAAATACTGAAAACTTCTCAGTTTCCCTTAGGTACAAAATAAGAAGAAAAGGGGATTAATTGTTTTTCTTGTGTAGCTGAAGTGATAGCTCTGTAGAATGTGAAGTTACAAGGAAATTATATCAGCAAGAATAAAAAGTGTAAAGTACATGTGATATTTCACCATAGACCACATAGTGCAACTAGTTTTGATGGGTAAAGATATGTCTAGTAACTGATTACATCATTTGCAAAAGTGGTGAACTAATGGTTTTTTCCAGTGTATCGAGATTTCCACAATACAGATTTTTTTTCAAATTTTCAGGGATGTGAAGAACACTGCTACCTATCAAAAAATGCTAATTTAATATATTTGTCTCCAAGTTAGCTTTTATGGTAACTATAAAAAAGTACCTGGTATGTCTTTAGAGAGTTATGGTTACCATGATATTGAATATGTCATAAGTTCTCTCCAACAAATCTTGAACAAGTCTGTAATAAGCTTACCTACACTTTTTGAGTGATTGAAAGCTTAAAATTTTTATGCTTATTTTTATGCTTGTTTTTATTTGTCCTATTGTGTCTATGAGCTTTCAGAAACCCTTTTGACCTCTTTGGTTCAGTTGAAGTGTAGAGTTAATTTCTCTAGCTTGCTTTCCTAAATTGCTAAAAGTTTATAATTATTGCAGTGAATCCTCATTAAACTTTTTGTCTTAAATGAAACTACTTTGTAAAGGTCACCCTTTTTGCAAGGATAGACCAGGATGAAAAATATCATTAGTTTCCATTAACCCAAATTTGTATCATGGATGTATGAAATTGTTCTTTCATAATAAATGTCAGGATTCTTTTTAAAATTTAATCTACTTTTTCAATGGATTTTGAGCTGCCCTAACAACCTTGATTTTGCCAAATTGAATGCACAGCTAATTTTGGTGGTGACATGTAGCCTTTTTATTTCTAACCTTTCAGTCATAGTAATTTTCTGTTTTTGTGTCAGTTCCCTTTAATAATTCTTATCATGGTCTAACTTCTCCTTCTCTTTCAGGTTGAGGCAAAGAAAGCTGAGCAGCGTGATTCTAGAATGGGACCAGGAGGAAGCATGGGCATGGGTGGAGCACAGATGAACAGTGGGTACAACAGTGCACAGTATTACCCTCAAATGCAAGGTCAGAATTATTCTTGAATCCTAGATGAGAAAGTATTTTTTACTTTCATCACTGCTTTGTTGGTAATTTATAGTGATATTTGGCAAAATGCTCTCTCCTGAAAGACAAGATATTTGTTCAAAGCTTCCACAACACTCCCATTGCACCTCTTAGATTTTTCTGCTACGAAAAGTTTTTGTCTTTTTATGATGCATTGGCAAAAGTGATGTGTGAATCAATGATTGTCTTCTGTAATGTCACAAGAAGGAATGAAAAAATCATTTCTACGGTTCTGTGGAATAGAGCTCAATAATTCAAACAGTAAATTCTCTCTTTTTAAAGGCCACTGCTAGTCCTTATAGCTTGTTTTGGGTTTGCTGCTCTCATCCTGCTCATACTTACCTTTCTACATAGTCCCAAAAAAAACTGTTCGTGACTCTTGTTCACTCTTGTTCAGGGGACCATTTCAAGAAAGAAAATAAATATTTCTCACAAAATATGGAAATTTCTAGAAGGAAGCTTATTTATAATACAAAGCTGAAATTCATGGCATTTTGATATCTTTGCCAAATACTCATGTCTGCATCTGGGAATGTTATATTGTCTTATCATTTGGGACAGTTTTTTTTGCTTCTCTTAAAAATATGGGGGTTAATGGCTGACTTGAAGAAAATAGCAACAGGGTTTTACTCCTGCTCATTTTCCTCAAGCAGTGACACTGAAAACAACTGTTACATTTTTAAAAGGTCAGTTTGGTGGGCCTCCTCCAGTCCCTGGTATGGGTCGCGGCTATCCAGGCTATAGTGCAATCCCTCAAGGCTATCCTGGTGCACCCAACATGGTTACTCCAGGATATGGTTATGGTAAGTCCAGATACACTGCCAATCTTAGCTTTTTTTCCTAATCCTCACAAATTCATTGAACGAGAAGCAGTCAAATCAGAGATAACAAAATAAATTAAACTTGCAGTGCTTTCAATAAGACCAAGCACCTGCCAGAGGTCCAGAGTGTATTCTGTTGCGATTCTTTGGAAGCTTTCAAAGAAACTGGCAAAGTGAGACCTAAAACATGTAGAGATCTTTTCGAGTTCTTTCAGTCAACTTTTACCTTATAAACAAGTTTTGATAAAAATGATTGATATTATCTTATCATATATCTCAGCATATATTTCAAACGTTTCCAGCAAAAGAAAGATTTTGAGTTTCCAAGACCATACTGACTGAAATTTTGGTAACCAGTAAACATGTGTCATCTCAGAGGACTTTTTGTGTGAAACTCAGGGAGCAGGTGTGCGTGTCAGCAAATGGAAGATTTTGATAAAAAAATAAAATCATCAGTGAAATAATTGTTTAAAAGAAGACAAATATTTAATGATCATCTACAGAAGTCGGACATGGAAAACTCTGTTTGAAGGCAGTTCATTCTGAATAGAAGTAATGGGATGATGAGAGGGGAATTTTTTTCGTATTATTCTCTGATGGGTGCTTTACCAAGGTAGCCATTTTGTTCAAATCTTATTGAAAGCACTGAAGTTGTTAGGTAAGACAACCCATGTCCAATATATTAAGATGTGAACCAGGAAAACTAAATCAAATTCATCACATTTCCATCATTTCAAAGCATGAATTGAAAAAAATGCACATTATATGTAAAAAACATAAGGAGTTTGAGAGTATCTCATCAATTCAGTAGATGCCCTGCTGCTTATCACAGAGAACCAATTTGGAAAATAGTTCCTTCCAAGTTTATTCCAAAGAAACATTTTAAATTGATAGTTGCAAAAGTAACTCCTCAAGGTATTATAACCCCTCCATTTTCCCACTAACATACCCTAAATGACTGCTCTTTACATACCACATGTACTATGTAAAAACAGTTTTAAACTATTCAAATCTTTGCTATGATTAATGAACAATTTTCTGATATCAAACATAAAATAGGGGTTATGGTTAATGTTCCCTGTAGGAGCATTTCAAATCTTTGCCTCATGCAACTGAAAGCAATAGAGCATTAACACCTCTATTTACTTTACAATTTTGCTGTGGTAGGTGGATATGACCAGACTTCCATGTATGGTGCACAAACTTCTGTTGCCACTCCTGGTAAGAATCTGTTAATGTTGTATGCTGATATAATATAAAAAGAAGGATTATTGCAAATGCTATGTACCTATGGACTAAGAGGGAGGGCTGATAGGGAAAATATATGATGCAAGCATGCAACTCTCATGTGGCCCATCTAAACTCTACTTGACGGTACCCAAGGCCTTAGCTTCTCTTGGAGCATAAGGAATGAAAGATCTCCTAGTTCCACCTCGTCCTGTCCTAAGCTGGCCTATTTTCTCATATCTGTTTTGTTTTCAGTTGAAGCCTACAGTGAGTAGTTACATTCTTGAAACAGACTTGGTGCATGATTTTGTGTACCAGAGGTTTTATCAAACAGAAGCAAAACAATTTTCCTTTTTGAAATTCGTGTCAGTAACATTTACTGGTTCCTTTACTTTTTCCTCTGGAAATGAACAAACCTTGTTTCATGTTTTGATGTCTGTACCAATTAACCAGGTGTATGCAATAGTTATTTTGCCTGCTGCCAAGCCACTGACTCTTAATTTTTTACTGGCCATTCAAAACCTCTCAGGGAAGTAAAAATTTCATATTCTTGAGACTTTATCTGTTTTTATCAAATTTTGGAATATAGTTTCCAATGAAACATTGAAGAGGCTCAAATTAGGAGCCTCTCCTTCACTTAAAAGGCCAAAAAATAACACTGAATTGTTATCACGCATCTGAAGTGATGACATATTGAGTCATAACAAGCTGCTTTGTATTACCTGAAAACAGCATTTGTCGTAACCTATCAGAATAAAGATATTTTTTCTTTACTTTATACTTGATATCATTACTTAAAATTAACTATTTTTACAGGATATGGAAACTATAGTGCAGTACCTTCATCAGCAGCATCTATGGCCGCAACGTCAGGCGGATATCCAGATTACAGTCAGATGTCAGCAGCAACACCCCAAGCTGGAATGCCAGCAACTACCCCTGGTGGCCAGCCTCGCTTAGAGACCCCTGCTACCACAGACTACTCAGTTTATGGTGAGCAATGGGGCTTGGGCCGCACTGGGGGAAGGGCGGGGTTATCCCATCTTACCATGCAGTGACCTATGTGTTAAAATTGAGGTTTCATCTCTTGGTTCAAAGTTTGTTGATTTCAGTCTGTGTCATAGAGTCGATTTTGTTATGAAATGTTTCTGCTGTACTTTGGCGTCATTCAACTTTAATCGTAAACCATGTTAATCTCAGCAGAGGTAGCGAATCGTAAACAAAAAGGTTTGGATTGTTGGTTTACCTTACATCAGACCTTAGAGACTGCTCTCCAAGATATCGATCTTACAATTGGCTTCCATTCCTATCTAGCAAGTTGGTTTCTACTTCTCCCTTCCCGCATTTAATCTGCCGAAGTGATACACAGCACAACATCAGTTCAAACTCAAAAGTCACTGATAGCGGGATTTATGATAACGGTTAATGGTAAATTTTGTCATAGCTGTGAGAATTTACAGGGCCGCTCATATTAAAAAATCTGTTTACAATATTTTTCGTTGGACAGGCCTGGGGAACTACCCACAACAGGAGTCTAACTATGGTCCTGCTAGGACATCCTTCTCCTCCGACTCAGGATACAGTGGCTTTGCTGGTAATGCTGAGCAACCTGGCTACGGTCCAGGTCCTTATGGAGGCGGAGAAAGTCTTGGAAGGGGAGGCAATGTTTCTCGTGGATTTCACCCTTACGGACGATAGATAGCTCGAAAACCCTTCAGTTAAAAGGAAAAAAATGGCATTCGCTCGAAACTTAACCTCGAAACGAACGATGTGGTCAATAAGCTTTTTAGAAGGTCAAGGCGCTGGGATTTCCCACTGAAAAATTATTTTAACCTCGAAGTTATTGTTTGTTTTGTTTTTTCTTTTTTTACTTCCATTTCAAGGAATTTTAATTAACTTAGTTCGGTTGTGAAGAATTCTTGTAGAGGTTTCGTTTTTTCTGCATAAATTCGCTCATTACCTTTAATTATGAACGAAATGTTGATCTGAGATAAACAAGGCACTTTTTTGAACAGGTTGAAAAAAAAAATTCAGAGTGAACTTGAAATCAACACACAGGACATTTGAGAACCCAGTTTACCATTTAATTGACGTTATCATATTGCTTATGTTCTGTGAGGTGATCAATAAAAAATTTTTGCGGTTTTCATTTACTGCAGTATTATTTACGACTTTCAGTCAGTGAAAAAGGAGCATAGTTCTCCGCCGACAGGGTTGTGCCGGGAGAAGTGGGCATACATTTTAGACTGTACTTTCCCCGTTAGATATATGTTTAAACAGGTGGGAGCAATTAAAACTGAAACACCTTACCTCAATACACACACCTCAATTTGACAGGGTTTATTCATCTTGTGTAGAGTAAGATTTAAATGCACAGTGAGGCGACTGGTCATCTAACATGAATAAAAACTTTCTTCATGAGATCTGGGAAAGCGTCATATGATCGGAATCGACAATGGGGAATTGAAAAGAAGTCGTTAGTGGGAAAATAGGGGCACAAAGAATGGTTTCTTTTTCGCTTTGTCACGGCCTCAGGACAAAGAAAACAATCCGAGTCCCAACGAAGAACCGATCTCTGGATGTTCGCATTCCGCGCCTATGTCTCTGTAGAGCATCGATGCGGGGAATTAGTTCGATTCCTCTTTGGAACTTAGATTTTCTTTTAACGTCCCACATTCATGACATGACGAAGAACCTCTTTCATGCGTCGTGAGTGGTGTTAAAGCAGCCCCTAGTTGGGCTATGAGGACTTTTCCCTCCTGCTCTTTAAAGGAACTTGATCAAACGAACTTTAAGTTTGCAACCCCTGCGGAGAATGTCTCGGGATTCTCAGGGGATCTAAATTAACCGAACTAGAAGCAAGAGGATTAAGACGGATCCGAAATTTGGGCTCTTCCTTGGTGTAGAAGACAGCGTCACTATTGAATGCCGCCTCATTAACCTACTGTTTCCGCCTTTTTATTCTCTATTGTTTTACGTTAACTGTGTCTTCTACACCGAAAAGAGCCGAAATTTGCTAGAGGAAAAGGATTGGAGAATACATATCCCCTATCGTTGGTATATGAGGGCTTTTTCTATACGTGAATGTACGCGAAAATCAGGACACCGAAAAGAAGACTTGAATCGAATAAATATGTTTAAAGCGATTAACGTTTCGATTCTGGGGAGACTCTTAGAGTCTACTCTTGATAAAAAACGGCCAATGGATGTTTTACTAACAAAGATGTTCATGTGTTGTTATTTTACTGAATGCCCATAACACTTGTTTTGCGACGAGAAGGCTAGTGATCTGTACTTCTTGCCGTAGTCTATTTGATGCCTTACTGTCACGGTTATTCCAACACTGTTTGCAACACAAAATGTAATTTCTGACGTTTGAGAGACATGGGAACGAATAAGTCAGAAATTAATATTCTGACGGCACGTTTGAGAGGTTCGCATGGCATCATGGTAGTTTCGGGTTATTTAAGCGTTTCGCGGGGAAATTAGGTCATTCTACGTCGGTCAGTCTTAGGTTGGGCCACTTTCTTTTATTTATTTATTTTTTATTTAATGTAATTTTGCTTTACAACTCTATGTAAAACATCACTCCTTTCATTGAATTTTCTGTGTAATTTAGTAGTGTAACTAGGTTTATTTTAGTTACCCTTTCCTCGGGGTATAGTGCTGCTGCATTAGATGAGGAATACGTTTCCACATATTTTTTGGCCACTTCTAAAGAGTGGTTTTTTAGTGGTTTTTCGTATCTGGCGTAGCACAGCCTATTTTTGTATAACCCTTTATTTTCAGTGAATACTTGCAGAACATTGCAGATTGTAGTAGGATATGTAGACTACAAGACTGGCTGACTTCTCCTAAATAAACTTTCACATTGAATATCTCGTCTGAGTGTAATCAGAATCTTCAACAGACACCCCCAAGAGGCTGTGCTATGCCTAACGTCCTCTACTTCGAGACTGTGGAAGACGAAGTGACTACTGTTTAATAATAATATAATAAAGTGATTATAGCGAGAGATAGCGCAATCCTCGACCAATCAGAGTTCGAAAATGTTCTAATCGCTAACAAATAGACATAGTAATTTGGCTTAATCAACTGTGTTGATAATGTAAATTGACCACCATCAATTGGCCACTGTAAAGAGTTTCTAAGTGGACGTTTTTAGCTTCCTTAGTTATATCCCCCCACTGGCGCAACACCACAGCTTCTTCAGAAACTTACTCTCTAACATCAGTTAACTCGGCGACAATATCGGTCATTTCGACGACCCGACATTCATCAAAATTACGTTAACTTGATACATGACATGGTCAATGAAGTTGAATACTGAGATATGTTTTCAGTCTTTTCTTTATTAATTCAAAGTTGAATTTATAAACCTTGCCGTTCATGTCTTTCTTGTAGTTTGGCTGAAAGTGGGCAGAAAGCCACGCTTTGGTTTCTGCCCTAGCAAGTACTATAAAATAAACATCGCTGACAATTTGAAAAATTCCAGCGCGATTTCTCCTCAAATAGATACTTGCTTAAAAGTTCACGCAATCAAGAGAACTAAAAATTGTAAGCTGCCTCTGTTATCTATGGTAGGTGTGAGCCTTAACCCTCGAACTAGTCAATTTTAGGGGACAGCGGAAAGAGGAAACAAGTGTGCAGTCAATTTCAGTGGATGAATTACAAGACACTTTGAACGATTCGAAACTGAATCCTGAAGCTTTTAAAATTGACAACTCGTACTTTTTTCTACAGTACATCAATCAATTCCGATGTACGATTTGTAATAAATAATAAATAATAATAAAGAAAACCGTAATAATATCTAACAAGGGAACCCAACTCGCCAAGGCGGATTTCAGGGGGGCTCTACATACACAATAAAAGCTAAAACGATGCGATTAAAGATAGGTTAGAGCCAGGAAAGCGGGGAGGGTGAGCGAGGGAACAGAAGTTTAAGTTAAATCAATTTCAATTTTTTACAGTTCGTTTTACTTTGCTAACAAAGTGAACATTTGGAAAGAATTACATTTTGTAAGAGCAACAATCGAACTGAAATGATTGTGAAGTTACCGTTATCTCAGTCAGTCAGTCTGTTAAATATTCTAACGTAATTCAACATATTCGTCAAGAGAATGGTTTCTTTTATTATAATTTTTTTTGTTTTGTTTTAGGTGCGTTTTTCCTTTTCTTTTTTTTTTTTTTCACTGACAATTTTAATAAAATAGTTTCTGTACAATAATTTACATAAGGCGTGTGTTCCTATAAGCTCTCTTAACATTTACGTGTTTTTGGGTATTCGCCTGCAGGTCTCCTCATTCATTTAGGTACTGGTAGGCATATGATGGTTACTCTCCTTCGTCTAGATCGGTTGTAAATGATGAAGTAGAAATGGCTGCTGCAAACAAAATATCTAAACTTCCAAGCAACTCGAAAGATTTCTGCTGGAAATGAATTTCACTACCAATCTTGTCTTTTAACCTGGAGAATAGTTGATCCACTTTTGCCGACTGACCAAACACAGGTCCGTAGATATCTAAAGACCAGAAAGTAAGCTCCTGAGAAGTCTGTCATGGAATGAAAATTCTTACCCATACGTTCATTTCACCCACGATCATTGGAACGTATCTTAAAGTATGTTAACATACTTTAATGCAGATTAAAACATTAAAAAATGTCTAGTTTTCAACTTTCAAGTCAGTCCTTGCAGAACAAAAACTATTCGTTTTCAAAAGGTTAACGGTTTCCCCTTCTGTACGTGTCAAAGTTTCAGTTTCCTTAGAGAGGTTTAAGTGGTGAAAGGTTGGTAATTACCAAAAGCCATGCGTATTTACCTGTCAACCTCAGAACGCTTTTAGGACGCAAACACCGTGCACTTCAGGAAAATTAGATGGCCTAGTTAACAAATACACTATACTGATAAGAAAAGGACAAAAAAGGACAAAACTGAAGCTTACCAAGAACTGCATTTGTGACATCGATAAGAAGAACTGTATACCGCGGATTACTAACATATCTGTAAGGAAATATATGATGTTAGCTGACGTCTGTCGTTCCATGAATAACACAGCACCAAGTCATAAATTTCTAGATAATGTGCAGTCCTAGCATCATGACCTCGCGGCAAATATCTTTCCTTCCAGTCCTCTCAATCAGTCAAGAAATACATGGTATTTCATAAAAATTTATCTCGTCCTCACTGGTTAACTCACGTCATTAACTCATAAACAGCTTAACTGCGTGGATACAAGTCCATTTACTTGAAACAATGGTGATTAACTTTTAAACAAAAACCGCGAAAGATTTATGAGGTTAACCGTGTCAAAATGTTAGTAATACATTTAACGACTATTATACATAGTTAAGGTACAAAAACTGATTACAAAGTACCTAGCACACTATTAGTACCTTGTGATGAACTCTAGAATAGGAACCAAGCCATCCTCATCCCTCCCCGCCAGTGCTCTCTTCAGACCCTTTCGCCGTATTAACTCTTGGAGAAGACTGACAAGAAGTGGAGTGCGACAATAGGAAGGCTGTCAAAAAAAAATGTTTATAACAGTTAAACTGAGTAACAAACCTGTATGCATATGTATCATACTTTCTCTCAGAACCAGGACCCATTTTAAAAGACAGCTGGACATCTGAAATACTTATTTCAAGTAAAAGTAGAAAAAGACAAAAAAGTAAAACAGATCCTTTGCAATGAAAAGCTTAAACCAACCTTCCTCAGAACGGAATCAAGAGCCTTTGAGTACTGAAACGTTTTTAACAATTGGTCATGTTCCTTCAACTTGTGTTTCCTTTGTGCTGACACAACAAAATCTCCCTGAAACGATGTAGAAGTTAAATGAAAAAATTAATTAATTAAGAAATAGGACATAATGAAACCCATATTAAGCGGACCTCATGTTAGGCAGTCACCAGCCAAAATTCTGAATTTATTTTCCCACAATTATTTGCAAAACTCCCCTGGCATAGGGTGTGCAAGGGATCCCCTACAACTTCTAAACATATGTATAAAAATATCTATCGTCTTTTAGGTCTAAGAGTGGGTTCAGATTTTGATCACTATGGTCACTTAAAGTGGCTAGAGTCACAGTAGCAGATGAGCGTAACCGTCTTTTCAACCCTGAATGAAAAACATAGAGAACAAGAAGTAACCAAAACATTTTAATTATGTTAAATTTCAGGTTGATTCTTTTCATAAAATCGATTCAAGGTATTAGTTACGCTGGAACCTTCCTCGCATATTTAGCTAGCTTCAATTTAAATTCTTTTTTTATGAGAAGAGCAATGAAAGATTTATCAGGAAAAATAAACTGTGCACTAACTTCTGTTTGATGATGCAAGAAAAAGTTCCTTTTTTATTGTATTATGATACACCAGTTTAAGGAAACTATATAAATTGTGCAAACGTGCACATTGTACCTTATCAGGCTGGAATTTTTTGCCACGTACGAAGTAACGATACGTTCCAGCTGTTAGCTTCTTGGCTGTTTGGACTTCATCTTGCACTTCTTGTTTTATTCGATATTTTATGGACAGGTACCCATTTGCCATACCAGTCACGACATGTGTATTGCCAGGCTATTATAATTGTAAACAAACAAGGGTATAAAATAGCAATAAACATAATATTAAAACATACCAGCAAAAACAACAGCTAAAACAATTTTGGCGTTCTACTGTAAAGAAAAGCAAAGGCCATTATCTAGTTTTCATACACAACTTGTAAAAAGGCTGTGATAATTCATTGCAGCTAAAAGACTGGTGGATTATCTTATACATTGTAATGCAGTTTTTCTCCTTGAGAGATTGAAAAACATTGTCAAAACTTTGAAAGCACTAAGTGTACAAACAACTAGTTAAAAAATGCTATATATGTCCCATTTCCAAAGGTACTACAAGAAGCAAGGTGTACACTTCCCTTCAACACTAAGGTTTTACAGAACATACAATTCCAGCCACTTAATCACAGTTTGTGGACCACAAACAGCAGTGAAAAGTAGATTACATCTTCCTTGTCCTTAAGAGTGATCCATGCTCAATTGCAAATTTTTAAAACTGATGACCTTGGTTAACAATTATCCATCAGAAACTTACTGAAACAGCAAGGCTAAGGATAGGTGATGGATAATCCATGCTGTGAACAACTGTATAATCTTGAATATCGTAAATTTTAACATGCCTAAAGGAGATAAAAATACCATGAGCTACCCTGTCCAAGAATCAAGTAAGACAAGAAATCAAATGGTTTCACAAAATCTTGTACACATAAGGCTGATTCTCAAAACAACCAAGTATAACCAATTATTGTTACCCGCAGGCTGAAAGTTCACTGAAATAGTTTTTGATCCAATTGAGCAAAAGAGGTGTTTAATTAAAAAAAAAACCTTAAAATAAAATAAATGTACCATATTCCTGTTTGTCTGTTAATGTAATGCCTGCTTCCACCTTAGCCATATCATGAATGTTTTTGCACCATGTACAGCTGCCATTTTATAGATTTCAGGGATAGCCTTTCTGTACACAGTATCACATCACACTAAATTTCAAACCTGTCTAGCGATGCAGACAACAGACGTCTATAATCTCCATCAAAGCAAATAGATGTAATGGTTTTCTGGTGGTTTGAGAATCCTGCTAGGAGTCTTCCACCTCCTAATATATCCCAAACTTTGATGATGTTAGAACCTGTTGAAAGGAGAATTACAATATGGAGAAAACACCTTAACTATACCACCCCCTCCCCCCCCCCAACCTGCCAACACGTTGGCTTAAAATCATCTCTCGATTCATATCTTAGGTGGCTCTGAGCTCATTCTATCTTGTATTGAGTACAGTATTCAGTACAATGCTTCAGTTATGAGGCAAAAAGTGGGCACAAACATTTGTATTCAATGCTGACAAAACTACTCCTAAATAATACACTTTAAGTTTTAAGCTTTAAGAGCACCCACCAAGTGCATGTAAGAGCAAAAGTGATGGTAAGCACCTTTGAATAACTGCTGTATTCTTAGAGAGAGTTGGGTATAACTTTGTCTACAACAGCCTTGGAAACTTACTTTCCTGCAAAATAATGTTTCCAATCCAAAATAGATATAGTAAATTCTTTTCTGTTCCAATTTACTCTTGGACTCAGATCATAAGAGAGCAGTGTTCCAAAGTGAAGGACAAGCCTGTTTTCTCACAAGAATGACACAGTGAATGATAACTTGGTAATCTGTATCTATTTTACTCCTGATATACCCTTCATATCACTTTTCAGAAAAGTGTAAAAAATTTCAAAAGCCACTCACAAGAAAGAACTGCACTCAAATAACCACTCCACCTGAGTTGCAAAAAAATTAACATGTGCTGCATTGTCTAATATAAATAATTCAGTCCACTAAGAAAATAAGTTGTAATTTATATAGATATCAGGTTACGATCAAACTACAGTTGAATTTCTCTCTGCAACCACCTCTTGTAAGCGAGAACTTTTTCCAAAATACCAAACCTTAATGTAACCACCGTTCCTAGGCAACCAACCCTCCTAAGCAACCAGTTTCAGAGATGCTTGTTTACAATTTTCAATTGTTGTTAACCTTCTATAGGTGATCATATCACAAACAAACAATTTTATCTCTCACAAGCAAAAACTTGAAATTGCTTCAATAAATGTTGTAACCTGGGGTAACAAACAAGCCAATTTTCTTTCACATGCATTTTCATAGATGCTGTATTACTTAATTTTTGAGATACAGAACAATTGCCATAGATACCAAAATTTCTTTCTTGAATAAGCTGCTAAAAGTTATCACTATGGGTTTCAATAAGCGCAGGTGAAAGGGCCTGGTCACCACATGCAAATTACCCAAAATACAGACCCCATGTCAGCTGCCCTCTGGTAAGCAGCCATCTCCCGTGCAAGTAACCACCCATTTTGGGTGGTCACTTAGCAAAGGTTCGACTGCAGTTTAATAACTTATGCTTTTCTTCACTTGAGGAATATTGTAATATATTTGACATAAAATAAAAAAACATCAACAAATGAAAATAGTTAGAAACCATTTTGACCTAAAATTAATTTCCATACTCATTTACAGTCATATGTGCTGGTTATTTCACTCACCAGCTGACACACATATTCCACCTGTTGGAAAGATCTGTACACTTTCCACTGGAGAGCCATGATCCATAGATAAAACACTACCCTGGCTGCGTGCATCCCATACCTTGAGCCAGTGGTCATAGGCACCTATCACAAAGCATATGATAATAACATGATAGCAAACAACACTGAAATTTTTTAAAAACCCTTTTGGTTGTAATCAATAAATACACAAACAAAGATTTCCCTACGGTAACATTTGAAAATAAAAAATTGCCAAGCTCTGATAAAATCCTGTTTATTGACACACAACATAAAACAAAATATTAGCAACTTGGAGTAATCAACAACTAAAATGGGCTGGTACAAAAGGAGTCAAAAGATTTGTTTTGATTTGTTTTTGACAGGATTTATAGCCATCTTCTCATTTAATAGCAAGTCACATGTAAAAACCATACCAATTACCTGTCCACATGTAATTTAAGCACTGTTGATAACTAGGATGTTATGTTACCCATTACACACAATTTGAACTTGTCTAAAAGCTTGAAAAAAAAATTAAGAATACCTGTAACAAAGAGGTCCTTACTGCTCTGGCTAGAAACACCACAGCGTACATAATCCTGCCAAAGCATAACAAACAGGGATTGTTTTCACGACTAAGGTCTCTATTAATTTTACAATAAACAGCTATTTTAAGTCCAATGACTATAGCTCTGTAACTGTTCAAATATTTGAAAAACAAAACACTCTTCCACAACATCCTTTCACAATGCTGTATGTTCAAAATTGCTTTTAAACACAATTTCATCAGAATAATGAAAAATTATGTACTAACTGTAAGTTTCTTCATATTAATAATTCAATAACCATGGGCAGGTTTACCTCATGTTCCTTAAATGTTGTTATACTTTGCCCAGTTGCTATATCCCAACACACTACAGACCGATCATCAGAGCCAGACATCACATGCAAGTTGTCCAACATAAACTTGGTAACCTGAACTGAGCTGAAGAAAAAAACACCAAGGAAAAAACTATTGTTCAGATCAAACATGAAACAGCTCAGAATTTCACACAGAAAAGCTGCTTAACTTTGTTATAAACTGTATTGTGATGTTGTAATTTTGTCCACAAATGACTGAAATATCCAAACTAAACATAAGAGATATCAAAGTAAATTCCTTAGTTTTCTCTAAATGTCAAACTTAGAGCACCATGAACATGTGAAATTCCTCTAAAGAGTTTATTGTGTTATAAAAAATGATATCAGACATCAGGAAATGCAAGAAAAACTGTAGAGGACTCAAGTGGTTAAATTAGCATTAAAAGTCAGAGGGTTCTCTGACCACTGTCAAGAATTATTAGTTCAATTTCAATGCCCTCCTCTAAATTTCACTCAGATGTCAAGAATACATGTATTTTCCAGTTATACAACACAATTCCACAGCTACTTAATTTCTTATAAAAACCCAGGTGTCTGCATACAATTAAGTTTCCTCGTGCCTGACTAGCTTGTTTTCTGCAACACAATCACATTCTAGAAATATTTACTGTGCTAACTTTTATGAATTGTTAAACCATTAGTATCTTTGAGCATTTAGTTCATCAGTGCTAGTGGAGCATTATTGTATATTATTGTTTGGCTGGTTATCACATTATTTACTTATTCAGATTTCTTTCCGAAGTAGAAATCTTCTTTAAAACCAGGGGTGTAGTATGAGATCTTTTATACAGAAAAGTAGAAAATATTGAGCAACAAAGGCACTTCAAACTAGGGGGATCTGAGGATATGCTCCCCCTTGTCACTGATATTGCACCAAATATAGGGAGTGAAAATCAATCTTATAAAATATTTTATATGTTACCTAGTATGCCCCTTAAATTCTCTCAAAACAGCTCTACTGTTGACATCAAATAGCTGAAATATAAATAAAATCATGGGTTTGATGTTTGAAATTTCAAAGATTCTATGTTTAAGTTCTTCTCCTCCCTTCTTAAAAAGACAAAATTACAGTGAATATAAGAATGATCCTTAAGGAAAATTTCATTCAAAAATTCTAATTCTACCATACTATCCCTAGCCAAAATTTCAGCTTCTTAAGAAATCCTTTGAAATCCCTGACATTAATTGAATCTAACTTGAATCTGGGCTCACAAACAATTTACTGGTAATTGGAAGGAAAGAAAATCCTCTTTTACCTTCCCTTGGACACCTTATCAAACAAAATAAGGTTGTTTAAGAAGACAATGCCAATTAAGCATGAACCAGTAAAAGGAAGCAATATGTGACCAGTTTCCAATCAACTTAAAGCTCTTTAACTCAACTGACATATCCTCAAGTAAGTTAATCTAACAAATTTTTAACAATCAGTCATTAACCCCATTTGATGCCAACCCTACTGAGAAGTCCTTTGTCAATGCAAATTTTTCAGAATCCTTACTAGTTTTGAGTTGGAGAGGCCAGGTTATTTTACATCTGCAATGCTGAGGATTTGATTGTTACTCTCTTACTTTTGACGTACTGAGTATGTGATACATCAGACCTCAACTTTGGAAACAAAACAAAGGCAGACTTTTGGGCACATCTTGTAAATACCTGCACTGAGCCATTCTCTCTTCCAGCAACTATCAATTTCCCATCATTACGAAAACTACCACAGTAAACTTTTTCCTTAAAATTTGAGAATGATTTGTTGACTTGGTTTGTGCTGGAACTGTAAATTTGGATCTGTAATAGAACACTCAAATGATTAGATAATGTAAATTAACACTAATAGCTAATTTGTAAAATTGTGATTGAAGTTAGCTGTTCATAACAAGGATAAGGTTTACCTGTGGGTTGCATTGGATGAATTGACATCACTGATCATTAGTACATGGTAATAAAGCCACACTGCTATGATAAAACCTCGCTCGCACGATCTCGCATAAATTTCCCCTAAGAGCATTTCTCAGTTATTTGCTATCTGTATTCTTGGAATCCCCGTTGGCTCGAACTGCTTTCCGTTTTCCTTGTCATTTCTCGTAGGCCTGACATTTTCTACTGCATGTCGCAACGGTTACATATAACTCAAGACCCCATGAGCTAGGGATCGTAACTATAACTTACCAACACTAAACACAACAAAATGCCTTAAAAATTCTGTAATTGCTTCGTAATTACGCAGCAAAATCATACTCACACGTGACGAGCAAGTAGCTATAAAATCGTGGGGCTTTGATCTACAGAAATCCACGTGGCTAACTGTACCGTACTCCTTGACGATAATGGGAAACTGAAAAACAAATAAAATCTCCAATGCAATAACACCATTTTTATATTCTCTCCGGAGTAAGGATGAGCTTATTTCTTACGCTAAGTTTTTTCCAATATCTTGTTTCGCTTGTCTGACGAGTAGCGATTTTAGGGAACTTGCGGACCCCCAGGCGCTGGAACTCCGCCATTTTGCTGCTGAAGTGAAAACCAGCGGTGAAAGTTATCTTCAATCACTCTGTAGTGTAAGTTTCTAAATCGTGTCCCAGAAGGAGTGCGCTGAGAGCTTGATGGGGCAGATGATAGAAGAAGAAGCATTTACATTTTTTCAATTAAGGTAAACAAAGAAAGTGTACTGCAACAATATTTTTCGAACTAGATTTCAAACTCATGGTAAAAATTTTTAACGAAATGTTCGACATGACCCGTACCATCATAATTTTAATGCGTTGTAACTGTTTACTTTGTCTTTACACGTTTCATTCAAATTAGGTTAACTGGAGGGTCTCCAATTAGGGTTCTTCAATCCCGCGATCCCGACTTAAATTTTCTCTCAATCCCGTAATCCCAATGGTTCATACCGGCCAATCCCGATCCCGATCATACAATTTTGTCCTAACCCATTTCCTAAACTTAGAAGGGTCTTTCCGGTGGGTGATGATTTTCTTAACCAGCATTGATCCGTTGAAGTCTGTTGTCACCGTAAGGCGTGAGTTTATCTCTTTTCACCAAATGATAATATTGTTAATGTAAGAAGTTTTCAAAGTTTTGCCCTAATAACGAAAGCTAGTCACGGTAACGACTTCCTTTCATTAAACTTACAAACGTATAGGCACAGGTACATCAGTATCAAAGAAACGAATGACAATTTCAACAAGTGCATAAAACACAAAAGGTCACAGCAATCCCATAGTTCCATAACAACGGAGATAAAGAAAAATGGGTTGTCTTCATTAAGCCTTTTTAGGCAACATTTCCAGAGTTTCTTGGGTAGTCTAACACCGTGAAAAGTTTATCTTTGTGATGCACAACCAAGTGAATATTCTTCACATCTAGTGTCATATAACTAAACGGGTTAAGAGCATCTTATCGGTATAATTCTGAGACTTGCTGGAGGTTTTTCAACGCCGTTAAGCATTTCAGTTGACGCAGTAGTCTTAAACCACGTTACCTTATAGGCCATTGAGGATTTTTGATAAATTGACAACTTCGCTTCTAATATAACTTTCATTCCCGCGCAATACTGAACTGAAGAGTGTCATTGAGCAGCCCGACCGCCCCGTGAATGCTAGAGAGCCTCTATGCCTGGTGCTTTTCATGACTGAGTGGATCAATTCCTTCGTAAATTCTCTGACATCCCGGTTCTCGGTTCGTTTATGTGATTATTTCCCGAATCTCGCTTCTCAAAATCGCCGAGTCCCTTCTTACTTTAAATTCCCAGATCCTGGCCTTTAAATAAGCCCGATCCTGGATCCCGAAAAATCTATTGAAGACCTTCTGACTAAACATGCGCGCGCATGTGAAACCTTGGGGAGGTTAATCTATTTCAAGAAATAATTACAATTATGTTGTATCTGTACAATCAGAATATACAATACCTCCCAGGTTTGATGTAAGACAATAAGTAGTGAACTAAGTTGAGAATCTTAAAAGCACTCAGCTGAACATGTTTGCTTACAACTGGGAAAGTTACACAAGTCGCTGTGAACATGTGAAGTTGTGTCTGTCAATAGATGTTTTTTCAACCTAATGGAAAAATGGCGAACTGTCTCACCAAAGTAACCAGGGTGACATTTCGTACATGTGAACTAATATTTAACTAGGGATTTTGAGGGGGTCCGGAACAGGATCTTTAAAGCTGAAGTTATTTTTTTTATCAAGATCTTAACAGAAAATTTTTTATTTGTATTTTTATTCATTGTTTCCCCTCATATTTGTGACCCTTTAAGAAACTTTGCTGTTTGACGGGAGTATTCTGCTGTGTATGCCGTGGGAAATATTATTACCCAAATATCATTTTAAGACCCAGCGAAACAAATGACACGTAACGGCGTTACATTGCTTGAAATAGAATAAATTGTCTTCCGAAAGGAAGACCATGCCGTTGAAGGGAAGGGGAAAAAGGGTGTCTATACTCTAAAATAGACAATTCAAAGAATGGTCATTGCACTTGGAGCAACTATTTCTCTGACAACTGCAAATTTTTTTATGGAATTGTCTTTTTGACAGAAGCCCATAAGGTGTCATTTTCGGAGTACACTGGGTGTAATTTTACTTTATTTTACATTAACACCCCCTAGAAGCTGACTTCTCACCCTTCCACACAGCCTCAGTCTCTGACCAAATGTATATTTTTTTAACTGAAACCTTACCATTCAAGATCGAGTCTAATGGTAGATTTTACGAGGTTACTCGAGAAAAGAGCGATTACATGATGCTTAATTTTGAGCAAAACACCTCGTTTGCCATTGAAATTGTTTTAAGGACACGGCAACAGACCTTCACCTTTCTTCACAGACAAGAAACAATATCCTTATTTACGCCAATGAACCCACCAGCCACGAAACTAACAAACTCCAAACTGTTTAGTTCACAATGTCGAGGTTAATCAATGTTCCAGTCTTTCTCTTAGCAGTTAAAGCAGCAGTTCAGACTCGCCGCTCAGTCTTCTTTTGTCGTATTTTACTCTTGAGAACTCATCCAAGGAAAGCTTTTGATCGTGTTCAGCCAAGTTAGCTTCTGTCTTAGTCTTTGGAATCCTTACTGAGTAACGTTCGCAGCAATAACAAGACACGGCACCTACAATAAACAATCCAAGCCGTGAAGCCTTACATTATATTTTCCCTTGATTAATTTTGGGAAAAGCAATACAATAACAGCCATTTTAGGTCATTTTTTAGGCAACGATTGATATTGAACGGAAGTGCGTTATGTAAATGAAAGTAGTTTTTTTCCAGACATTACTCGGTGTTGTCGTTTTCCAAATGGCTTATTTTTTCCAGCTTATACAAGATTGAATAGATAGAATAGGTTTTTAAAAAGGAAAAGGTTCTTCAAAATTTATAACAAACTCAAAATTAAAAGTACCTACATATCAAAATGAGACCAAGCAAAAAGATGCCAACGACTTGCCACACTAAAAGACCCCAAAGAGGTTGATCAGGGACTGTGGAGTCCTCGGATGCTCTCCGAAATGCAGAGTAAGGGTCCAAAGACTCCTCAAATTTGACGACATCATTATTTGATTTTACTGCATGAAAGGTTATGTTATATCTCTGAGTCATCTCGAAAGTCTGGGAAAAAAACTATGGAGACTTATTAAAATGACAGGTAGGATAAACGATATCAATTAATAGAGTAATACTTTTTTACACATTTTCCGCAACCAAGTGTAATCAGGAGAACATACAATTGGAGCGCCGAAGGCACTATTTTGTGATGGATTATGGCAAGTTAATTTGGAAGCATCCAAAGTGCGCTAGAAAACAAAACCCACCATATTACTGAAATTACAAGTTTTTCTCTTCAAAGACCTCACATGAAGGGCATTTTTGAGAATGTCTGATTTTGATATAAACTTGAAAACTGGGTGCACTCGATCCTAATTGAAAAGGAATCCTTGGTAGTGTTAGCTTTATATGCAAATCAAAGCCTGCTTTTCTTTTGACAGCAAGTCACTGTTAAGGAGAATTAGTGTCATTTGCTCTCCCCTATATCAGGATCGCTTTCTAAATACCTTGTTACCTTGTCAACGTCCCAATGCAAAGGAAAAGCGAGCTTTAAAAAAATTGACCTCTGTCGATTTCACTGCCGGTACAAGAAAGTTTTTGAGCCGCATTTGAAGGAGCCTTGTTGGATTGTAATTTCAACTTGCAGATGTTCTCCAGGTGTAAAGCCTGTAAAATCTTATGTCAAACAATGCCGACTAATACATCATGCTACCACCAAATCTACATTAGAACTTGATTTTGGCCCCCATGTTGACCAATTAATTGTAAGAGAAGGTCCCTTTTCGTTAATTTGGAATAAGATTCTATACACTACTTTTTAATTGATTATCTCCTGCTGTTTTTCCACTGCTGATATAGAGATATCTTTCATTAATAAAACATTTGCAGTCTATATATCGCACAAATAGTTAATCTCATGTCATCTCTTCAAGCAAAAAATTTTGAAAAGTCAACTTTTTGAACTATCGATCAGGCCAAGGGGAAATACCTTGTATTATCAAAGAATATTTCTCTTTCCTGTTTGATTTTTCGAGAGGTCGTTTTCTGTCGAGGAGAACACTTTTTAACTCGAAGATGGACGAAAATATCACAGAATTCGACGAAGTCGACACAACTGAGAAGATTAATCTGTAATAACTATTGACTGAGTCCTAACGCCCTGTTTGTATGGTATTCACCCATGTTTAACGGTCTCTTGAAGCGCAACGACACAAATAAAACTAAGAATAAAATCTGAAGTAAAATTTTTTCCATTTTTATCTCCCTAGATCGGTCTATATCAATTTCAGTACTTTTAAATTCAGAGTTTAAATTTCCTCTACGCAATGCAAATTATCTTTCTTCCTCAGTAAGACTGTTTTATTGGGCAAATATTAAACGCGAACGATACGCAAGTCACTTGCTTGCTAATGACCTAAGGGTCCAACTGTAAGATAACAGGATATCATGTATCGTTATGAGCTTAATCATAAAGATCACAATTTTCTCAATTGTGACTGATTTAAGAAACTCCTAGTTTCCACCCCAAGTTGTCATCGGATAGTTTGTCATCGGAGAGTTCAATAAGCCAATCACATTCAAAGTCGTAGATTATATCAACCAATCACATTCAAAGTTGCAGTTTAAATCAACCAGTCATAACACATTAAACAATTTACGCCTCCCTCGTGAAAAAGCAACGACACAAAGAATTGAACTCCACTCAGTCCTATTACCATTACTTATTGTCCTGGTTTTACGCTACGCCACCATTTTGTTGATGCCGTTAATTAACGATTAGTCAATGCATTTTTGAGCGAAATTTTGATTAAAATTTAAATTTAGTGATAAATTATGGCATAAAATGGCGTTTATATCGTGTTTGACCCTTATCCTGCGGAGTCTGTAGTTTGCAGTCACGCCACAATTCTTGGTTCGAATGAAGGATCGCAAGGGACTGCTCCCTCTTGTTACAAGAATAATTATGTTCAAATTGCAGTTACCGCTGAACGAGAATACTG